GCTGCAAAAATAACTTCTAATGCTGAGGAGCTAAACTCTTGAGGCCTACTTCTTAGTTATATGCTCAAAGCTCCCATAAGCCTTTGCTCGACTCTTGCTCGCACAATGCTCTCTGGGAGCTGTGCCCCTGTTCAGGACAAGAGGGCACAGACTCAAGCTCTGCCAGGGGAGGTTTAAGTTGGATATTAGGATGAGATTTTTTACAGAGAGAGTGATCAGGCATTAGAATGTGCTGCCCAGGGAGGTGGTGGATTCACCATCCCTGGAGGTTTTTAAGCTGAGACTGGATGTGGCACTTAGTGCCATGGTCTAGTAACCATGATAAGGTTGGACTTGATGATCTTGGAGGTCTTTTCCAACCTGGTTGATTCTATGATTCTGTAATTAGGGCCCCTGTATTGACACTGCATTATTGATAAAGACAGATAGAAATTAAATTTCCATATGCCTCAAAACATAGTCCTAAGCCAATGTAGAGTAGATATCCTTTGGATTTTTGCATTGCAAGTTTTCAGTCTGATATCAACATTTGTATGCTTTTCTGCTTCTGAGGGCCCTTAACTCCATTTACAAATCCAAGATCAAAACCTCTCATTTGAGAATTCCTACATTTGCAGTTAACACAAAAGTAAATTGCATCTAGATATCCTAGATTTTTCTCCCATGCCATGTGTCCTTCTGCATGTGAGCCACTTACCCCTCTGCCTTTCCTGCCAGTGCCACCAGAGTCCTCTTGTCCCAGGAAAGCTGGTTCTTCTTGGAGTTTGCTTAGAAAATAAGTCATGGAGGTAATTAACAACATAAACAGAAATAATCGTGATGTAAAAGATCTTGAAATAATTGAAAGGCTGAGGTAGACCTAAGAGAAACCTGAGTCTGCCCCAGTGGTCTCACTGGGATTTTAGCAAAAAAGCTTGAGGTCTGAAGCTGTTCTGTGTGTTGAAGAGGCTTCTTTTGGTGATGAGGCTTCTTTTTGGTGCTGATTTTCAAGGCTGCAAAGTGATGTCTGCAGGATTTGGCAGTTAGCAAGGTGACTCGTGGGGTCAGGAAGCTCAGAAGGTCTAACAAGATACCTCTAGCAGGTGCCTGGAGGGTGACACCAGGCAAGCTGTGTAAATTAATTGGCAGCCTTCTATATGAAATGCACACTTGTTTAATTTTTTTCTGGAGAAACGGAACAGCTTAGTCTCCGAATTTAACATCCTCCTGTTTCCCAATTTAATTTATACCTTGGATAACAGACTGAAGTTGTTGCAGCCCTTCACATTTTTTCATTATAATGTGTCAAATTGTGGCAAACTGGAGAGTTCTGTGATGCAAAACACAAGTATGTGTTTGTATGGGAGGAGTTATCCATTTCTTTGAACCTGAAAGCAAGCTAGGTTTGGTAGGAATTCAGACCTTCCTACAGAAAAAGCACCTGTGCACCCATCACATCTCCTCCTCTCCTTGTTCACAAAAGAGGTGAGCAGTGTTGTATAAAAGACCCTCCCCTGGTAATGTCAGGTGGGCTGGGTTTGGGTACATCCCTTGGGAAAGTGAAGTAAGTTGGTTCAATAGGAAAAATGTCATTGGTGAAAAAGACCACCACCACCACGGGAATTATTAAGGTGCTCTTAATCAACAGAGCTGAAGATTTTATAAGAAAACGGTCTTTGGATTTAATTGAGCTGGTGCTGGTTTTGGAGTCCTCCAGGGACTAAGTCCATGGCAGAAGAAAAAGCAGATGCTGTAGGTGCAGGATGAGAGTCTTCGGTCAGAACGGCTGAGCCCTCTCCAACACCACACTGCTGATTTGGCTCAGGAAAGTAGGAGACTTTCTGGTCTTCTTGGCCACACTTTTGAAATAAGAAAGAAGGAGGTTTATGAAGTACTGCAGAAAACAGCAAAGACTGACAAGAATAATCTTGAGTACTTAACTGCTAAAAAAGTTTCTTTAGTCAGATATTTTTAATGCTGCTCCTTTATGCAACCCTAGGTTAAACAGGTGAAACGGTGAGTTCATAGTCAACACACTTTGAAAGGGCTTAATTTTAGGTCTTTGTGGATGGATCAAGGAGGAAAGGATACTGTGCAGGGACTTTAGTGAGAATGATGTTTCAGAACTTATAAACTGTTAGAGAATAATCTCCTTTCAAATATTAATTTCTGATTGATATTAATCAAAACAATCACAACAATCAGAACAGATTGCAGTGAAGCTCCAGGAGATCTGGACTGAAATTAAAATCCATCAGCACATCTGTTGTCTGCTCTGAATCCCACAGACCCAAATCTGAAAAGTGTTTGGCTACTCAGGTGTAGCTACCCATGTAAGTTCTCTGACTTTCAGAGGATCTACACAATTGCAACTCTATTTCATTCAAATATTAATTCTGCAATTTCATTAAAGCTAGAGGGTCTTTACATGCTGACCTGGAAGTTAGGGATTGGTCTCAGTTTGGTCTCTTTTCATTGCTTTGAGGGAAAGTTCATAGCCAAGAAACATGGCTGAACTCGTTGGGAATCCTCGCACTGTATTGACCGTGATGCCCCTAAAAAAGACCTGTTGGGGATGGAGAAAGGTTAGAGCATAGGAATACACTGGCTATTTTAAGATGAGGAAGAAAACAGTGAATGAAGTCATGGTGGGATTCTGAAAAACCAAATCTTGGGTTCCTGGGAAGATCTGCTCTCACTGCTGGTCTTAGCTGAGTCTGCACTGGAGAATGGAAATGCAATGGCAAAATTCACTGTTTTGGTATCATTGTGCTCCATGCTCCCTACGAACCCTGTCCTTACCTACCAGCAAGAGCTACAAGAGGTAAAATGTAAAAACATAATCTCATGTGTTAAAAATCAACAGAGCCAATTTGTAATTGAATTGGTAGGTTTATTGAGAGTAGCAAGCAAAGCAGCACTGGGCGGCCAGGGAGTCAGCACCCCTTGCTGATTTTTAGCTCCCTCTTTTAGACACCCTTATCCCGTTTCCGAGAAATCTGCCCTCCCCCAGTTTTATTCCCCGATATAAGCTTCACTCTGCATGCACTTGCTGTTGCTAGGGAGTTGTCTGCCCTTCTCTGGTGGTCATGGGGTGCAGCCATGTAGTCTTCTTCTGGGGTTCTTGATACATGTATCTTTTCTCGTGCAGCCGCATATTCTGTCATTAGTCCTTCCCTTATCTTGCAAACCTACAATTTATCCACTGTCAATGGTTTTACAGTGCCTGCACCCATAGTCTTGCTTCTGGCTATCCAAACATGAATTACAACAACATCTGCCCTCGTTGCCAAATAGACATCTATCACATCATGCCATTGGCATAGAACAGAAAGCAGGAAATCTAAAACACCCTCTAGTGTTGTCCTACCTATCTGTAGTCATAGAACAACAGAATCATAGAATGGTTTGGGTTGGAAGGGACCTACCATAAAGCCCTTGTTGTTCCAACCCTCTGCCACGGACAGGGACATCTTCCACTAGATCAGGTTGCTCCAAGCCTTGTCCAGCATGGCCTTCCTTTGCATGCATAAGCATGTGGGGATCATGCAAACCTCGGGTACAAGGCGGCTGTTGCTTTTGTGCAGGAAATACTCAGATGCATGGGGCTGGGTCGATGGGCACAGAAGACATTTGGCAAGAGGAGAGGGAGTGATGTGGCTGTGAGCCAGCCCAGCCGATGTGGGCACTGTGCCATGTGAACTAGTTTTCAGGTTTCACCTTTGAGCACAGAAGGAATTTCTCAATCAACAGAAAACTAGACTTACTCTGTACCTTGCTGAGAACTAGCTCTCACCACCACCTTTGGCAAAAACATGTGATAGAAGCTGGTATTTTCACTGTAGGTTCGTAAGGTCAAGCCTTGATATCCGTACATAAGCCAGAACTTTATTTCATTAAGATAATCAATACCTGCAACCAAATTTCCTCATTCTGCTCAAAATATGTCTTTTTAAAAGATGCTGGCATGTACAAGAGTGAAAGACCCTGTGGCTTTTAAGTGCTTGAATAGTAAAGTGCTTTTGGAAGGTGAAGAGGGCTCTTCTCACTCCTGGCTGCTGACCTTGATTTGTCTCCCTTTGAACCACCCTCACTACAACACTGTTCCCTGGTGTGTGCACAAACTGCTCACTTTGGGGTGAACCTGGCCACAAAATGATGGTTGCAAGGAGTATCTCTGCTGACCTGTTTCTCACAAAATCACTGCATTAACCATCCAGGCTAATCACCATGGTCACTAATCTAAACACCACAAGTACAGAATAGACATGAAAAGGAACATCAGCAATCAAACCCCTTTCCATGATTTACAATGGCAAAGTTCCCACAGCTACTGTAAGAAATCATGGAAGATCTTGGCTCCAGGACCAGAAACCCACAGATTTAAGTGTCTAACCAGTATTTCCCCTGAAACTACGAGCTCTACTAAACACCGTCGTATGTTGTATCCACTAAATCCAGAGCATAGTGCTGACTTATATGAGACAGAATCCAAATATGTTCACATGGCTTAGGATGGAGTTTGCAGTGTGAAACTGCAATATTGGGATATTTAGGACATTACTTGATTTATTGGGATGTTTTATTTTGTTAGGAAGGAGAATTTTCTGGGAGGAAATTAAATTTCTTGCATTATCCTGAAAGCAACACAAGAGAGCCAAGTTAAATAATAATGAAGATTTAGGATGAAAAGTCCAGAGGCATAAATTTTTCTCATCAGAATGAACATGTCCAGCTGTGGAGAAAGACGATGGCTATGTTCACATCTCTTTGTGTACATCAGGCAATTCTTTCCTTTGTCCCAGAATGAAAACATCCAGTCCTGGATTTGCTGTTTGTCAGTTGAGTGTCTCCCAGTATTTAAAAAGATTTTCCTTATGAGAGCAGGATCCAGTCTTGCCACCAACTTTTACTCAATCCTATTGCTGACTTTGGTGTGGGCACCTTGGTAGAAAAACTGCAAGCAGTTTGGACCTCAAACAAAGCCCCTAAGCACCTGAATTAGTTGCTAATATTCAGGCAGGACATGGAGAGTAGAGGGTGAGGACGAGGATGGAGAGAGAAGGGAAGACACATGGAAATTCCCTTTTCAGCCACCCTATGTTTTACTGTGAAAGTGCATGGCAAATGGAATGCACAAGGCAGGTAGCATAGAACCTGGGCAGTCTGCCCCTCCTCTGACCATCCAAGCACATCCTTAGCATCTCTCCAGATGCTTGTGCTTCACATCGATGTGACTTTCTTCACTCAGTGGCAGAAACTGAACCAGACCACAGGCTCCAGTGACAGCTGCCATAACATAGTGGCATGTTGGCAAATATTGAAATCACACTGACTAGGGATTTTGCAGGTTATTTTTCTGTTTTGTGACTTGTTAGTTTTCCCTCAGAATGTGAAAATTAACACTTTGGAGCTAAAAGCCTGCATGATGTTTTGATGACAAATACATATTTATTTCAGTATCAGATGTCACTTCTTGTAACCATGCCTTGGCAAGGCAATAAAGCTGCAAACCCTTGCTCTCTGCCATTCACATTTAACTGAGGCAAAGTTTGCAAGTAGAGCAAGTATCTTTTATTATGCTAGCAAAGTCAGACAAAGGAGATAAGATTTTTTTTGCCACACAGCCCTTCTTCACGTTTGAAACCAAAGCAATTCTGACTTAAGAACATTTTCAATCAACTCTATCTTGGTGCAAAATGAGGGTGGGCAGTACAAAACACGACAACAGTTCTACCAAAGCATCGTGCAAGGTGGCCAGATGCACCCAGGGTGCCAGCATGGTCCCACCAGAATTGGTTCATTGACACTGGAGTCAATGGGATACATTTGACCTCTGCATTTTGTAGCAGCAATCACAGAAGTAAGATCTTCTGCCTCTGATTTATGACAAATCAAATCATATTTACAGTGAAGTGCACTGACATGAAGTATTATTTGAAGTTAATTACACCAGCAGAGTGTGACCCCCAGTCATTCATTTCTGCATTGTGTAAGGTGCATTATTACTCTCACTATTTAGATTTGGAAAGAGTCTGCACTATAATTACCTACTGCCTAATTTGGCAGTAACTGACTTTAGCTGTCTCTCAACCCTGCAGATAGGTTTGTAACAGCCAGTGTATTTTCTAATGAGAATTAAATGCCTAATATCCAGATTTTACTTCAAATGTCACTTACTTTTAAGCCCTCGTTCTGGTAGCTCTGCAAGATGCAGTCAAGGGTCCCTTTGTACTTGTTTAAATAAACTCCATCTGCCTGAAGTCGACTTTTCACCACATCCATTGGAGTAGCTGTTGCCCAGGAAATGGCTCCTAGAAAAGTGCAGAAGGACTTGAATAATTTCTTCTCTATATTTCCTTGGCTGCAGGCCAGTGAACTCAGAAATTCACCTCTCATCTACCACATCATATTCATGCGAATTTCTTTTCAGCCCATTCACCCTGCTTAGGCACAGAAACAGTATTTCTGGGAGCTAAGTTCCCATTTCTGGAAGAAGCATTGATATTTTGGAGGTTATGCTGCTAATCAGGTGCAAACAGCTCAGGAGGGACTCCCCCAGGTAAATACATCTGCTCTGCTTCTGGTGGAGCATGGATATGATGTGGGAAGAGTGTGAGCTGCCACTTGGAACTAATTCAGAATAAAAGAGTCTGTTGTAAAACAAAGTTTGAGCTGAGCCATCCATGGCCCAGTTGGACAGACAAGAGTTTGTTTGGACCTGTGTGAGTGGTGGGGCACACTAGAGACGCTGTCCAGATGGGCCAGGGGCCTCTTTATTTGAGGAGAAATAGAGAAGGCATTTGTTAGCATTACCTGAGGTAAGAACTGACTTGCCTTTATGGATCTGCAATTTAGAAATGGCCAGGAAATGGGGAGTGGGTGTAGGGGTGAAGTTTCATATGCTAGGGGATACAAATGCCAGTCTTACTGGCAGGTGTGCAGATGGAAAAAAAGAGATTATGGATAACAGTCAACTTGGCTCCTGCTAGGTGCAGGTAGGTGTACGCCCTCCTGGTGGGCAGCCAACAGGTTGAAGTCCTCTTCTGGAGGCATCTTGGCTGCTGTGTATCACTGGCAATGTGATAGGCAGGTTGCCATGAGGTGTACAGGGAGATGAAGGTGCTGGCTGTTTTCCTCTTTGCTGACATTGAGCTTGATGAAGGTCTGATAACATGACTTCCATAAAGTTTGTCAAGTCATAAAGTGCAGCTGTGGTGCCAGGGGACCTGGCCCTGGGGGAGGAAGGTCGTTCGATCCCATGTCCTCTCCTGTGATCAGGAGGATGTGGTAGCCCTTGAATCACCCCTGTAATCTGCTCTGGGAACTTTCCTGTCCTTGTTTTGCCAGTGTTGTGAGGAAATAAAGGTGCTTACCTGCTACACCCCCTGCCAGCCAGACAGAGGAGGGACTAGGAGAAACACATCCCTCAGGAGTCATCCAGTCACAGAAAATTGTGTAAGGGACGAAATAGAAGAGGTAACCAGGAACATCTCTCAGAAGCATTGCTCCTGTGCCTCGGTATATTCCTGCTATCCCCTCTTTTTGTAGAACTGTCCTAAAGCAGTGAAATGGGCCACGGTATACAGGAAATCCAGGAGCTGTGGGCTTTAGTTTAACCTTTGCTGAAAAAAAAAAGAAACAACTGTTAGAATAAATATATTCCTGCAGAACTCCTCTCCAAAGCCCACTGCCATCGATCAGAAATTGCTGCCATCCAGTGTTTTTCTGCTGGGATCAACATGTTGCATGGGAAAAGTTTTAAGAAAGAGTACTTAGATCCATTTTCAAAAGATGTTTAGACACTTCAGGACAGATTTTTCTTAGATGCATGGCATGCTTCCCCATAGGTATGTGCCCAGTGCAATTTCCAAATGAGTTTAAGGCATTGTGCCAAATTTTCATGGACTTTAACCACATCTGGTAGCAAGTTGCATCTCTGAAAGTCTTGACATCTTCAGAGTCTGGCCTTTCCCATGCAGACCAAGTTGCTTTTGTTAAGGGCATCAGGTTGCTAAGCTGCATGGAGGCTTTAAAAATGGACAGAATATTATTTTATGGAAACAACACAAAAATGTCAATGTCACAGTTAAACACCAGGTCTGTAATCATAAGAAGTGAAATGCTAAAATCCAAGCTGTTAGCTCTGAAGCTGTTTCACCTCTTCCTTCAGCTCTGCATGTGCTCTGGTGGGGTTTGCTCCATGCTGGCAGCCTGCAATGGAATTCAGCTGTCTAGAGGAAGAGAAGCTCTTTCTGTCTGCAGCTTGTGGACAGGGTACAGCCACCCACTGCCACACTGCCAGTGTCCCCTCCTGACCCATCCTTTCACCCTGCTCCAAAGTGGTTTGCAAATGTACATGGAAAACTTTTGCTTTTGAACAGAGGAAGGGTGGAATAACAGAGAGGGGTTTACAGGCAAACATATGTTGGACTGAGCATGCAGGTGGAGATGGGCAGCTGGTGTTGCCACTGGTAGCCACAGTGCTGCTCATGGGATCTCCAGGGGACCTGATAGCCCAGGGACTCACAGTCCCTGCAGCTCCCAGTCCTGACCAGATCTGCTTCATGTTCTTTATAGATCCCAATTGGCTGCAAATGCCAAAAAAGCTAAAAACCCTCCCCTCGAGCTGAGCAGGATGGGGTCCATCCTGAGGCAAAAGGAGGCACTTTTAGCCAACTGTGGCAGCACAAAGCAGCAGAGCCTTGAAGCAAAGTTATCCTAAAGCTCTATGTATGCCCCAAGGACTGGCAGAGAAAGGAAGAAGAAACTCTTCCTTCCTACCTTTGACGTATGGCTGTGTTTGCATCTGTAGCCTTATCTTTACCAGCTCCACAGGAGTGCCAATGACCACAGAGACAAACCCTGCCACCATGCTGGCCAGAGCCATGTCAGTAAGTGATGGTGTCCTGGCTGGGTCTCCGTGGCGCAGTTGGCTGAGGAGTCGTTGTGTGTTGCTGAAGACGCCGAACACCACGGAGCTGTTGATTCCAACGCTGGCCAGTGGGAAGGACATGCCCTTGAAGAAGCCAGCCACCTACCCAGGGAAGGGAGCAGGGGTTAGGAGAGTGAGCAGGACTGAGCAGTGTAAACCCTGACTTGCCTATCAGGCCAGAAATCATAGAATCGCAGAATGGTTTGGGTTGGAAGGGACCTTGAAGACCATCTTGTTCCAACCCCCTGCCATAGGCAGGGATGAAATGCAAATCCAAGTCGCAGATGTCTCCTGGAACCAACTGTTTGCACATGCTGAGCAAAGGAAATTAATTCATGCTGCTAAAGACTTATAAAGATTGTGCAGAATACAGGATATGGTGAAAGCACAGGAACGTGTAAAAGTCTTTCTTATGGACAGCTTCTGTCCTGGCTTCACCAAAGTCAGCAAATCCATCCAGGAGACCTCTGCCAGCAGGATCAGGCAAAAGAGCTTCTGTGGATGTAACACCATGTGGAGACACTGATTATTCCATGACAGGGATCTGTCTTTTCCCTATAGGAGTAATGAAGAGGGTTACCTTAGAGTTATGCAAGAGAATTCTGTTGGGATTTGCAGGCTCAATTGCACCAGCTTTATTGGTCTTCATATAACTGCTGGTGTCAACAGTGATTTTGTATAATTGCTTTATGTATTTATCTATTTATCAACTTGCACTTTCTACCAGCACATTTCAAGGATGATAAAGTACTTACAGACTCGTTTCTGTACACAGTGAGAACGCAGTTGAGTGTATTTCCATATCCTTGTCCAGCTTGCAAACGAGTCTGCAAAAAACATTCATAAAACGCAATTAAAATCCCATGTTTCCAGCCCAACGAGAGCTCACGCTACGTAAACAATGTGTACTTTGCTTTGAGAGCAAGTCCTTCCATAGTTGTAAAGAAAACAGAGCAATAAAATAAGATATATGTACATCCATCACATTGAACTTTGCCAGAAACAAGGCTAAGTGGGATCTCACAGGTCTGAAGCTCTCTGCAACATCTGGAATCGATGACTGTCAAACTGCTTTCCAGTCTGGACCAGCCACCCTCACCCCAGCACAGCAGGATGCTGGTGTGCAGTGCTGTCACTGGCAAGGGCCTGATTTATATGGAAATTGGAGAAGTGATGTGGTCTCCTCCATTCGAGGGCTCTCAGTGAAGACTGGGATGTCATGCTGAGGAGTAGAGAGGAAAACCCCCCTGGGAGACTTCTGGGGCCCTTCTGATCTATGGTGGATTTTAAGATGTAGAAATACTAAACGGAGCCAAAATAATTCAACAGCATCTCAGAAATTCTCTGTGCTTCACTCAAAAGTATGTTTTCACATCATTTCCAACAAAGATGTTTTGTTTCTGGAAAGCAGTTTGGTTATACACCTTCCAACAGCTGTAAGAAATGGCACATAAATCACACTAAAGTCTGTAGGATTCAACAGACATTCCCCTTTTCATATATATATGTATATACACACACACATATATATATTTAGATCATCTTTCATTCAAGCTGCTCAGAAGTTTGCATGAAAAAACATCCTAACAAGGGGTGCAATTTCTGGGCTTAGAGGTGTGCAAGGAAGTGGAAACGCTGTTCACTTTGCAGGACCTGGGGCTTCAGCAAATCATCTTGGCTGAGACCAGAGCTCATTTTCTGTAAGACACTCACACATGCTCTGTCAGGGATGTTTCTAGGGAATGGAGACAGCATTTCTGACCACATCCATCACATCCATCAGCATTGCTGC